AGTTTTGCATATGGGAATATGAGATCAGCCCAAATACATAGGGTCTGTTTGCAACAACTTCTACTTTAAAAAAGTGCTTTTTTAATGAAATGGGGAGAAGTGATTAAATAAAAGTTGATAGTGTTTGAGAAAAAAGTGATCCTGAAAAGTAAAAGTTGATAGTGTTTGATAAAATAAGTGTTTTTTGTGTAATAGAACAAGTAAAAGCACTTTTGACACGAAAGTCGAGAAAAATAAAAGTTGTAGTGTTTGGTAAAAGAAGTGTTTTTTTAAAGCTAAAAGCTGAAAAATGCTTTTTTAAAGTGGCTGCAAACCAACCCATAGAGGGAAAGAACACTACATACAAATGTTGCATGGGTTTACAAATATTAAAACATCATTCATTGATACCTTATATGTAACACCATCCCGAATTATATTTACATTTAGGTAAATAATGTATTGAACCTTATGCAATGGCTAATGAATTTACGAAGTTGTAAATTTTTATTAATTCTTTCGTGTGAATAGTAAATTTGCACGTGGGGCCCACACCGGGAGCGGGGGCCGCCCGATATCCCCGAGACCACATATTTTATTCATCTTGGTCTAGATAATAATTATATGGTGGTGGATATCTCATTTGGGCCATGGAAAGGCCCAGAGGTGACCTTCCACATGGGTGGGGGCCATCCCACGAATTTAGCAACCAATGAGGGCTGATTGGATTCAAAAGTTGGCTGAAAGGGGTGAAGGGATGGGGGACATCTATGACATTCAAAGGAGCCCTTTTCTTCCATTCATTACCCAAAATGAGACAAAAGGAGTACCCCCACTCATCCCCTTCTCACCAGCTCGTCCAAGACCAAAGGAAAGAGAAGAAAAGCTCTGCAAAGTCCATCTCCATAGCCAAGAACCGAGCTCACACCCAAGAGGTCCAAAAGGAAGGCTTAAACAAGAAAAAAGTGAGGAAAAGCTTGAATAATTAAGGTAATGACCTTATAATAACTTTTCCTCTATTATTTGATTATCATATGAATTATATATCATATGAAGGACCCTTAGGATTGTTCCACATGTTATGAGTGTGGAATAAGGGGTTGGAGGGTAGTTTTAAGTCCAATAACGGACTTAGAAGCCAAACAACCGGTTCGCCGGAAAATAACCGTTTAAAGGTTATTTGTATTAATATGGGTTTTATGATTATAAAACCTTGTTAGGAACTTGTAAGGGTAGAACTTGAAAGAGTAGAACTTCATAGCGCTAATTCGAGGTGAGGATGACTGACTATATTGCTTATAATTAGTGATTTAATTTCATGAGATTACCTAAGGTAATTAAATATGTTTTTATGGATTATTAATGATTAACAATGCCTAAAAATGAGAAGACTATTGTCTACAAAGAAAAGGAGCATAATATACAAATTTAAGAATAAATTGTGTTATGAGTATGTTGACTTGAGAATGGAATTAACTATAAACTTTATGTTGAAATATGCTTTTTACCTCATATAAGAATATATGAGTGATTAAAAGTCATATTTTGTGTATTGATATGCACTATATTTTCAATGGAAAATTAGTTTGAAAATTGTCTATATGACTATGAATTGAGAATTCGGTTGATAGAATTTATCCAACTAGTATTAAAATACTAGTCGGGGTATTGGAAGGAGATTATGCTAAAATTGATCATAAGGTTGGATTGTGAAATGGTGAACCTTAAGTAGTTTTAAGAGATGCTAAGGTAGACATGTATGAACATTAAGTTGTACTAAGCTAGGGTAGGCCTTAAGGGATGCCCAAGATAAAGTGAATAATAAATTGATCCTAGATATAGGTTGGCCTACGGGTGTATTCGGTAGTCCTTGAGGATAGCCGGTTGAATTATAATAAATTGATCCTAGATTTAGGATTTGGCCTACGGGTGTATTCGGTAGTCCTTGAGGATAGCCGGTAGAATATTGGTAAATAGTAAGGACCATGGCCCTTCCCGACTCTAGAGAGCGGGGTTGGATAGCATGGACTTACATCATGATCACGGGTTAGGGTGGAATCCGAACCGGAGACCTTACGAGGCTCCCGACAGCAGTAACACTTGAGATAGGACCCCGAATGAACCTTACTTTCCTACGCGATGATGGGTATGAGTCCAGGGGCGGATGTTGGACTCCGGCCCGAGAGCCCGATGAGGCCTTGGATGGCGGTGATAAGTCTCGTAAGAATGATAAGACCTACGGGCGGTGTCATGTTAACGACGAATGTTATGGAGCATAAAAAGGGGCCCGAGTGCCGACAAATTAATTACTACGTAATTAACTTATTATGAGGATAATAAGGGTTAAAGAAGAACTATCATTAAATTATGATATCACTCTATTTGAGGGTCTTAGAAACTGAAACATTGATTATACTTAGCATAGTTGTCATTGTACTTTTCAAATGCTTCAAAGTACTGACTTCCCCTTCACGGGGGAGGCCACCTCATAGTTTCAGGCAGAACTTGAAGTTGCTACCATCGCCCTTTGCTTCGGGGAAACCCAGGAGAGAAGACGTGGTTCGTGCTTCCTCCATTTCTGTTATAAAAACAAATGTATTAATGCTCATGGATATTTTACTTATTACAAACTACTTTTAGGCTTGCATGCCCATGTTGTTGGCCGTATGTGGCTTATGACTTACCGTTGAATATTTCCGCTATTCATTTATTTTAATGTGATGTTGTTATGTATGTTCACTACTGAGTATGGATGAATTATTTCATCGAACGACTTGTATGATTAAGTGAGGTTGACTCGTGAGTGACGCCACTTAATTATACGACGGTTGTATACACGCTTGAATTGCGGTCTGGGGCGTGACATTATCTAACGCTTCATCTTATTTAATGGCTTCCACGCTAGAAACAACTACACAAAGATTGTCAAATCACGGAAGACAAATGATAAAAGATTACATCCTGAAAAATATTGATGGGTGTTGAGGTTTATTCCTTCAACCCGAGGGCCCAACACGTTCCCCTTGGGGGTTAAGCGGAGAGTTTGATGTATATATGATGCAAGCAAGTATGATGGATCAAATGAAGAGTAGTAAGTGCGTTGTATCTTATTAAGTGATAATAAGGGTCCATATACAACACACTTCGGCTACAAGCCCCGAGGACATTCGTCTATCTTAGTAAAGAAGAACTAAGATAATTGCTATTGATAAGGAGAATAAGTTCTCAACCCTTTACAATGAAATAAATGCTACTCCCTCCGTCCTCCCACTAACATTGGGACAAGAGGGAGTTGCACGCAAATCAATCAAAAATGGTTTATGTGGTTGATATTGAATTGATAAAGTAAGAATAAAGTAAGAACAATTTAGAGCTACACAAACTTTACCAAATAAGGTATGGGACAATCTTAGTGGGACGGACCGGAAAGGTAAAATTGGACAATCTTAGTAGGACAAATGGAGTACTATTTAACTACCTAAGAGTTGGTAACGTTGCTGACGTGGAGGGTTGTGGATGGGTAGCTTCCTAACCACCAAATATATTGCATTAAATGCGCCTCCCGTCAATATTTTGGTTCCCGCCAAGGCAGAGGACGAGCGTCCTCCAGATCTTAGGCCCTGAGCCGTGATGCGTGTAAGGATCAGAACTCGTACGACCTATGCATGCGTTTGGCTGAAGATTCTAGCACGCTTTGTGACCCTTGTTTGGACAAGGTAACTGAGGCCGAGCATCCGACGCTCGTCCTCTTAGCATCTTGATGGGCCACGTCGATTGGGCTCTGGTGTTTGTCTGCCAAGGGGTAATGGGCCAGCCCCACGATCGGGCCATTAACCCAACACAAGCCCCCACTTCTGATGTCCCGAGCAAAGGCAGGACATAAGTATAAACGCTTCATCCGAACTGAGCCCCATTGACGCTCTTGATGTGACAGTTACAACTTTTTAGACGGTTCCCAACACCCCATGTGACAATTACAACGGAACGGTTCAACTTCCAATACGAAAGTAATCATCATGCGTCCGCTGACCTTCGTGCGACATGTGTTCTGGGTACGCTCCTCTCCACACGTCGCACTCTTATTGGTTCGCTTGGCGGTGCCCCCCCTATAAATACCAGTTTCTTTGATGGTTTGGGGTTTTCAAACTTCCACTCCTTGCTCTCAAGTGCTTTGCATCTTCCCCGCTCGGTTCTCCGGTCATCAACCTCCCTTTTCTTCAAGTCTTTTAAGGTATTTCCCTCCACTTCTCTTCTTCTCAATCCCCTTTTGTTTTTTTTTCTATGCCGGACCTTATGGAAGTAGTCACATGTTCTAGCTCCCCCCTCCAAATCTGGATCTGAATCTTGATCGTCCGGGGAAACAAGCTCTTCTGGCAGCTTTAGGTCTTCGGCCGCGACCGGAGTACTTGTCGCTGATACTACGAATGGAGTTGTCGTCCCCCTTGGTAACGTCGGGGGGACATCGTTCAAGGGAATGCCATCCACGGTGAAGCCGCTCAAGAAGAGGTCGCTGAGCCTCGACCCGTGAACTATGACTCTGGGGACGAAGTTGTTGGTGGGGATGACCTGACGATCTTCGAGCTTGGCATGCCCCAGGTAGGGGTGGGGAAAAATACCGAAATTTTGGTATACCAGCCATACCATACCGGAAATACTGATTTACTGAAATTTCCGGTATACCAAAAAGTTCGGTACAATATGATACCATACTGGGTCACTTCGGTACGGTAAAGGTATGCAATTTTAAAAAAATTTGGTACTTCAGTATACCGAAATACCGTTAATTTCGGTATGGTACGGTATACCGGAATAGAATTTGTAAATAATTAGGGCTAAGCGCCCAAGCCCATTAAATGAAATTAGTAAAATACCTAATCTGATATACCAAAAAGTTCAGGTACCGTATGATACCATACCTGGTCACTTCGGTACGGAAATAGAATTTGTAAATCATTAGGGCCAATACCATTAGTGAAATTAGTAAAATACCCAAGGCCCAAAAGTGGAGACCTAAATCCCTAATCGAGTAACTACTAGTACTGAGAGTCAATTAGCTTCTCTTCTCCAGTTCTCCCAAGCGACGAGTGAACGAGTGACGGAGCAGCGGAGCTGCAGAGTTTTGAGCATTAAAGCCAAAGCTGCAGAGTTTTGAGTATTAAAGCCGAAGCTGCGGACGAGTGGCGGAGCACTCAAGAACGGCAGAATACTTCGAGCTAGAGCTGCGGACGAGTGACGAAGACGCATTGAAGAAGCACGGAGCCGGACGAACTCAATCATTTGCTAAAGCTTCTCAATCCTGGTAATATGAACAATCTGGTTTATGTTCATTCTATATTTATAAACAAATGCTAAAGTATATTGATAAACATTTAAGCAGCGAACGACCTTCATATTACCAAAGTAGAAAACTCTCTTTTGTTTTATACTTCTGAAATAGAAAATTGATTAACTGAATATCATTTTTCTCCTGCAAGTGTATATTTGGTAAAGCTTATTTTGTAGCTTATATCTTGTTGATAAATAAAGCTTATATCTTATTTTGTAGCGACTAGAGTCATCTAAGATTCTGCCCAGCCCTAATAATTTTAAACTCTTTTTATAAGCCATCTGAAGATTCTGACCAGTAGCACGAATAAGCATGGAAAAGATAATATCTGCAACATTAGTAGAGGCAATGTTTCGACATATCCACAAACTTTAAATTTAAGAACAAAAAAGATACGGAGTATGCTTTAGAAAGACATTATAAATTCATAATACTATTGAAAAAAAATCACAATACTAACATTTGAAAGAGTAAAAATCCAGTGGCACTAAAAGTTATTATCTTTTTATTTATTTATATAGTTTTAGAACTGACTGGGCAATTTGACGTACTACAAATAGTCTTTCATATTTTTGCATTTTCTAGAATTGATTAACATAATATTTGTTGCATTTTCAGCAAAACTGATTTATTTTCATTTCCAGGAATGGAGGAGTGAAGTTTTAGTCCACTTATCTTTTGAAGCTGCAACAATCATTAAGAGATTTGTTATTACAAACATTAATTATCATTGATTTATGTTGGATAGTTGTTCTAATATTCATTATGGATTGTGTTGAGACTTGAGATATTAGCACATAATTTTAGTATATCTACTTTGGATTAAATATTGTGTTTTAGTTTTGGTATAAATTTATGTAATTGATGTTGTATGCTACTTTTGACATATTAAAATCAGGTTTTTTGGATGTTTGGTAGGCCCCTTTTGTCGATGCTTTATACAGAATTGTCTAAAAAGTTTAGTGTTGTGAATTTTCGATATAAAACGGTATGAGTAACATACTGTACTGAATTTTCGGTATGGTAACGGTATAACATTTACAAATACCGGCATTTCGGTACGGTATGCGGTATGGAGTGGAAATTTCGGTATACCATACCGAACCAGCCCTAGCCCCAGGACGTTCCCGCCATGTGGTTCCTTTGCAAAATGCTCATGCGATCAATCAGTCTTTTTGATGTGATCAAGGCTAAAATAAAAGCCACGGCCCACGAGTAATATACATAACGGACCAGGCTTTATAATATAACTACCATTTAAAATGCTTGCAACTAACTTATTCGAATCTTTTGATCTCACGATTCTATATTTCTTGCTAGGGTTTAAGCTTTATCCATCGTACCAGCAATTGGCGAGCTTTCACTTGCTGCGTGCTTGCTTGCTTGCCTGCATAAAAAAACAAACAGTAACAAGGTACGTAAAATTTCTGAAAGATGAGAAAGCTGAAGTTTCATGAGAAGAAGCTGGTGAAAAAGGCGAACTTTCTAGAATGGAAGAGGGAACATGGGCACCGAGAAGCTCTGGTCTTGCGTCGCTACCGCGTCACAGGGAGAGACGACTACAAGAAGTATTACATCCAGACTCAATATGCGATTCGTTTTCTTCTTAAAAAAGTACCAGATATGAATGAGATATTGTCTTATGTCGACTGATTTTTTTTTTTTTGATGAAATTAGGTATTCGGGATTGTGTAGAATGACACAGAAGCTGGTGAATATTTTGAAGCAGATGGACGCGAGAGATCCTTTTCGGATTGAGATGACTGATGCCCTTCTAGAAAAGCTGTAAGAATGTCTTCTTTTCATTGTTTTAGGTTAATGTTATACATTTTTTTACGTAGGTTTGACTAGTCACACTGTGCACGTTAGCCTCTGGCTTAAAGTTTTAACTTTCATGTATGTTTTGATTAACAGCATACAAGTTAATCTCTGGCTTAGAAATTTGATTTATCTTAAAATGGCACTCAATAGTTAATTCAAGAAGTCTAGTGATAAGACTACATTGTATTGGACTACCGCCTTCTTTCTATGAGACTGCTTCACAATCGCATGAATTGTGCTACTCCTTATTTGACATGTCTTCCTATTTGGCAATCTCATCCAGTCTAGTGTATCCACTAACATTTTTCATAGAATGTCCCTGCCATGTCTGATTAAACTCTGAACGTTTCAAAGTTCAAACAATTAGTCAATTCAAAATCAGACAATTGTATTACGGCAGGATAAATGGCATGTCAATTTGTGGTTAAACAGCAGTACAGGATTGAGTAAGATCATGCATGAGAAGTTCTCCCCTGCTCTGCTTCAACCAGGAACAGTGTTGTCTTTCCCTCATTTCCCTGATAGCGGATTGCAGTGGCCAACCCTCAAAGCTATAGCGGTGTAACGAATAGCGGGATGATTATCTATGTTGTAAAAACCGGACCGGAGAGTGACCCGGCCACATGACTGGGTCACGGGTCAACCCGGACCCGGTAGGTCAATCCGGTCAACGCCGGAAAACCGGTCAATGATTATACGTCTATAAATAATAGTAAACATATAATTATATATAAAATTATAATAAAAATTAGTTATTATTCATAATAATCAACTAACAATACTACTTATTAAGCATTTAATACATCTTATAATATTTCAATGTATATTTTGATCTTATAAAAATATATAATGATATTTTTATTTTTATTGTACATCTATATTGTAATTTGGCATGATGTTCAATTCATTCTTAAATAAATATATAAATATATTACGTGGTTTTTCTTTTTAAGGTATTGAAATTACAATTTTATTGGTATAAAAATGCATTAAAAATAAAAAAGAAATTACTTTTTTTTTGGTAAAAACACCCAAAAACTGGGTTTTACCGGGTTTTTCGGGTTTCTTGGGTCCGGGTCTTGACCGGGTTTTCCCGAGTCAGCCGAGTTTTTCCGGTTTTTGACCATTTACGGGTTTTGAAAAAACCGAACCGGTTTTTTGTCCGGGTCACCGGGTTCCGGGTCAACCCGGCTGGGTCGGGTCGGTTTTTTAAACATAGATGATTATGCGTATGCATATTAGATGCCATGCACATATCAAACACAAAAAATGATAAATACATCACTTCAAATCTCATACCTCATGACATTCACAATTACTAAATTACCAATAAAAATCCATTAGTTTCTTGAACTAAACACATGAATAACTAAATTAACTTACATCTAAACAAAAAGTTAAAACTCAGGTGCCTTTATTATTATTGTTAAACCAGCAATTATCAATATGTCGTTATTTTATAACAAGGTAATTGAGAGGCCTTGAACTCTCTAACTCAGGGATCTACAGGGGTCTTGCTCCCCATTCAGGGATTCAGGAATCCAGGAGTGAAGCGCCCACTGGTCGGGAGGTTCGGGGTGCGAAGTAGCCCTCAGGGGTTCGGGGATAATGCCCGACTTTTAGTGTATGTTATGTTTGGTCTTGTTTTTTTGCTTTGAGCTACTTTTAGTAGGGTTGTCTTTTATGCTTTTAAGAGGGTTCAGTAGAATTAATTTCTTACTTTCGAATTCTAGTTTACCTCTTAAAACATCTAAAAGCCAGAATTACCCCCCCCCCCCCTCCCCCAAATCCCCTTAACACTAGCACAGAAGCCATGTAAAGTATACTACTCCGTCCCATAATGGTTGTCCACTTTCAATTTGGCACGATTATTAATAAAGTGGTTGAAAAGTAAAAGTTGTGGTTGAGATTTGAGTATAATAAAGTGAATTGATAAGAACCACATATTTCATCCAAAAAAGGAAACAAGACATTCATTTTGGGACAACCCAAAAAGGAAAGTAGGACAACCAAAATGGGACGGAGGGAGTAGTGTCTTTTACTGCCCCTATAGCCTATAGCCAACTGCTCAGCTATAGGCAATTGGATAGCGCCTAGGTACAAAAAGAGCAGTACTCATAGTCTCATACATGATTGATACAAATAGAGTAGTACTCGTACATGATTGATTAATAGACTCAGACTTTCAGTTGGATTGAAAATTCATATTTATCTTTATCTTATATTTATCTTTATCTTAACCTTTTTTTATCTTACCTTCACTTTTTATCTTTATCTTCTTTTCGGCCCCAATATCTTGTATCGGTTCATGTTAGCCGACTCCAAAATCTTTTGGTACTAAGGCTCGGATGCTGATGATGTCACTGGGCTTTACTCTTGTTAATGTTGGGAAGGGAAGATTTCTGCCATATGATGCTATTCAAGTTTTGAAGGAATGATGTATTTCAGCCCAGATAATTAGACTGGATTCCTTTTTTGATTCTTCTTATTATGTTTCAAAATCACAAAATTTACAAGAGCAGTAGTTGTGAAATGTGGAACTATGCGATATCCTCTATGCTCAAACCTTCTGCTGCACCTGCCTTGATGTGTTGTCTCTAGTAATTTTGTTTTTCTGATGTCATTTAGTACAATGTAACTCTTTGTAAGGTTTAATTTTCTTGTGGTTTAGGTACAACATCGGTGTTATATCAGAAAGGAAAAGTTTAGCATTGTGTGAAAAATTATCAGTGTCATCTTTCTGCCGGTAAGAATTTGTCTGTACCTGGAATGTTCAGGATATATTAATAAATGAAATTATTGATATTGAATTTTTTCTGTATCTTTTTTCACAGACGTAGACTCTCCACTGTCTTGGTGAGGCTGAAGTTTGCTGAACACTTGAAGGAAGCTGTGACATATATAGAACAGGGGCATGTTCGAGTTGGACCAGATACTATTACCGATCCAGCATATCTAGTTACCAGAAACATGGAAGACTTTATTACATGGGTAGACACGTCAAAGATTAGAAGAAAGGTCTTGGAGTACAATGATAAGTTGGATGACTATGATGCAATGAACTGATTCAGTCATGTAACTGATATTAGATTTGTGTTTTCCTTTTTATTTTCATCTTTGGACACAATCTAATGCGTTTTTATTTATTACAGAGTTGTATTTATTTTTAAATATTTGCTAGTTTACCTTATCTGAGCTGTTTCCTTAAATACAGAACCTTGCTGATCATTCTGAAAACATTGCTACTTGCTATAATTATATACTTAAATCAATCATATAATTCTATTTAATTTACTTCTGCAATATTATTTTATTTGATCAAGTTCTATGTTTAGAAGTAAATTGAAATCAAGTATAGACTATGATTCATGGAAGCAATGTATTTATTTCAGCATTACACATTCATAATCAGTACAATTGTCAAGCATAATCACAATGGCATCAGATCGTACAGAAAAGCTTAAAAGACAGTGATTACATTAAGAAAATAAACTGATGTCATTATGGCAAATTCTTCTTCTGAGTATAAGAGGCAGCAGCCGGAGGAACTCCGGGGAAAGTAGGTGTTGTTGGGAAGGGGAATTGTGGGAAAGGGGTTGGGAAACTTGGGATGAATGGAGATGGCAGAAATGGGAAAGGTTGCTGTAAAGGAGGTGGAGAAGGGATAAGTGGAGGTGACTGTATAGGGTTCGGGAGGTTAGAAGGTAGTGGCAGTAATGGATTTGTTGGCAGACCACGTATTATTGGAGTGAAAGTTGCAGGCTGAACTGTCTTTTCATCACTTGCTTGAGTCTGTCTTTCTGAACTTTTTAAACTATCTGACTTCTTAGATGATGGTGGAAATCCGGGAATGCTTGGCATGAAAGGGATCTTCGGTATTGGAGGGATTGGAGGGATTTCTGGCATAGGCACGATAAACCCACCTTGCATCACCGGAGGTAAAAAGACACGTGGTGATGACCCTTGAATTGGTGGGGAAGATGTACCATCTTGGTGTGCTGTAGGTGGGCTAACTGGATTTCCGAGGCTAACTGGAGCCGTTGGAATGATTGGAGTTGCTGGCAGGGAATTTCGAGTGGGAGGCAGAAATGCAGTGCTGGTTTTCTTACCACTAATATCCTGCCCGCCAACTGGAATTCCTGGCCCAACTGGAACCTGCAGAAGTTCAAGGTTCGGATGTGCAACGTGAGATTCTGCAACGCTAGTTTTGGTTTTCTTCCCATGGATCCTTTGTTTCTGGTCACAAAGTTGTGGCTTTAATGTGAAAGACCCAGCCGAGAATATATGTTTTCCTTCTCTTTTTTCCTTGAAATGGATTGAAGATGAAGAAGCTGCAGAAGCAGTGGCAGCACAGTGTGGTTTGCTGTCACTGCTGCTGCTTATTAGCTTAACAGAACAGAAGCCTTTGTTTTTTTTTACATGTTCGCTTACAGATAGTGGTAGGTTCACCCTGAATTCTCCCTTCTCGTCCGTTTTCACCTCTCCCTCGAAGAAACTTGGACCTTTTCTTGTGTCCCCACATTCTACTGCAACTGATGCACCTGCACAAAAGAGTGCCTCCGAATACCGTTAATGCGGCATTTGGCAGCCTTATAATAACCAGAGTTTGTAAATTTGACTTGGTTATTTGTCTTAAATGGATATTATCTAGTCCTCCTTTTACAAAAATTAGCAGATAAATTTCAGCCAATTAACTCTTGGGTTGGTTTTAAGCTTTTAATAGGAAAATGAGATATGGTTATTGTTTTTTTAAATATTCACATATATCTAGATCTGTTAGTCTTTAATTTAATACTACGTATGATAGAAATAGAAAGAAATAAACTATATTTACGGTTCATCAAAAAAAAAAAAGAAATAAACTAGACTGAATAAACACATACCACAATGTTTTGATTGAACAAATGGTTTAAATTTTCATTTGCATGTTTTTTCCTTTCAAAATTCTCATATATTTTCTTCCTTACCCCAGCATATTCTGAGATCAAAATGTACCCTAAATACAACTGCAGAATTGAAGGTGAATCGTACCGGCAATGATATGGCTAGACTTGGAGGAATGTTGGTGGAAACATGTGTCACAATGCACAACCCCAACAAGTATAGCTGCAGATGGATGGTGCCTTGCTTCTGAGAAGCAATTTAGCAGCACAAAACACACTAGGAATGTGATCCAGAGCAAAGCCACTACTCTGCTCCTCATTCTCATTTGAAGAACTGTCACTTTTTTTACCCTTCTAGTTTAAAGAGCTCAAAGGATCCAGTGGTGGATCTATGTTCTTATATTCTAATAGTTGGAGTTACTTATAATGTTGAGCTACAACATGGGTATTTATGTCAATCATGGGGAGATGAGTTATCTGTCAAACCAGAAACCATTTATTTTGTTGCTTACTAACAAACAAAGCACAAGAAAGATGAACTTTGGGGACAGAAAGGCATGAAAGAAGGAATGTATTATGGATGGAGCTGCGCTGGTTGCTTCTTTTTCATTTAATAGTTTGGCTTTTATGGGGTCCTTTCTATCTTTTCTTCTGGGTAAAAGAGTGGCAAACGAGAAGTTCATTCATTGCAATCCAAATGAGTCATGGAAGTCTTGTGGGCAATATGGGGGATGAAATGCGAAAAACAATAGTCCACTTGACAATATTTACTATACCCTTAAAGGGTATGACTTTTCTTGGGGTATGTTTGGTTTTGGACTTCTGGGGTTCTTAAGGGAGATGTTTTTGGGAGGGAGGATGTTTACGTTTTCTATCCCTACAATTAACGGAGGACTATGCTTCTCAAGGACGTTTTTTGGGGGTTAAATAAGTTATCTGGAACATGGCCTTCTGATTTATGGGGCCCCACATTTTAAAGATTTTTTTTAGTAACATAAAGTAATATTATACGGAGCATATTAATATATCAGTATAATCAGTAAAATACAGTTAGTAAGGAAGAAAAATATAGATCTATCATTTTTCGTTGGTCCTTTTAGTTCTCTTTTACTTAAATTGCTTGAATAATGAGTTGTGTTACTTTATATCAAATGCTCTCTCCGTTCTTTTTTAAATGCAACATTGGACCTTTTCCACTATTAAGTAAGTTTAAAAAAATTACATTATTTAATGTGTATTCAATTGATTTGAGTATAAGTATTTGGATTGAAATTTTCTCTCTCAATATTTTATATTAATGCGGGGTCTTGATTTTTACATTTGGAATCGGAGCCTTCAAATTCGTTAGACGGTCCAGATATTTCGTTAACCTGAATAAGATAACACATAAAATACCTCCCCAGAACCATACACACAGTTAATTTGATCACACTGTTAGTCATTATAGCCATTTAACGGTCTCGTTCCCGAATTAAAACCAAAGATCCTAGTTCTATTCATGACCCAAAACTAGGGTCATGCCAAAGCCCATTATTTAACACGTTAACAAAATACAGAGTAATTTAGTACTCCGTATTCATTAAAATTTGAAACATATATGCTCTAACTTATACTACTGGCTTTTATTTTTCAACCATTAAATTATTCAGTTTTGATTCTCCCCACAAATAGTTATGTACTTTTAACTTTTTTTTTTTTTTGAAGGGATGTACTTTTAACTTTTTGGTAAGTTTATTTGTTCGCTTAATTAGATTGCCATGTTTGGCTTTGTTTGATCAAAATGGTTACCCTTTTGGGATAAAATAAAATGCTATTTGAAACCTGTGACATTTTTAGTTATACATGCGTAAATTTACCATCCTGATGAGTCGTGAATGGTTAGAGGGCTTAATTCACCTTTGCCAACAAAACTTGAATTGTCTTACTATAAATAAACATTTTACATTAATTGATTTTCTTTTGGTGTACATATTTCGTACAAACGTCTGTCTCACGCAAAAAAAAATGGTTGTCAACAGACAATTCTTTATGCGTGAGACAGACGAATGTACGAAAGGTGTACACCTAGCACAACCCTTACCATAGAGTATGTAGCAATTCAAGAATAAAGAGAAAAACGTATATTATAGGTCATCCTTAATTCCATATTACCTTATAATCAGTTTATATGTACTACTGCGTAATATATTAAAAAGAGAGTAATATATATATATATATATATATATATATATATATATATATATATATATATATATATATATATATATATATATATATATATGTATATGCTGAGTATCATCACCAGCGACCAGCGTGACACACAATTCAACTAAGTTAAGGTAACTATAACTATTTTCAAATTCGCAATCTACTATTTTCCCTACTGATGTAGTTATGTGGTACACGAGCAATAGAGTGATTTCAAATTTAAAGTTTTTAATGATGTGCATAATTTGTTCAAAAGTAAACAAAAAACCGTTATATATTATGACATTTTTCAGTTCATGTGAGTGTTTTAAATTATTTCCTCTTCTTTCACTAAATAAGTTTTAATCTAAATGCCCACTTGAATGTATTAATAAAAATGTCACTACATGAAACAATATTTTGTTGAAAAAAACTAGGTGTACAAAAAAAGTGTTGTGTACACCCTACTTGTCTCGGTACACAAACAATTTTGTATACACATGCGAATGTATAAAAAATTTACTAGTTGTAATATTCATCCTAACTTAAATATGTACAACAAGAATGATTCTATTCTGTTTACTTTTAGAACACATTATGTGCAATACTAAAAGTATGATGGGGCAAGAATGATTCTTAAATCATACATCATCAGACGAACTTAAATACTAATAGATTCATAAATCATAAATCTAAAATAATTATATTCATCCCAACTTTGGGAAAGATTGTAGTGGCAAACGTGAGTGATTGATGGACCACCATGTTAAACTAGACGAGCCAAGCCTATGTGATGGACCAGGGATTGATTATCGAGCGAGACCACGTATCTATATGAAGACGAACCATCATAATTCATAATGATCTGGGGTTACCAATCCTACCATAGTTGATGTAGTTTCATTACGTGGCAAACTTTATTTTCTAAGAATTTAATATGGATTGTGGAAGGTGTTAGAGACTGTATAATCAAGTCCTATCCTTCGATCCAACTCGACGAGGAGTTGGACGGAAGTAGCCCTCATCGCGGGTCCGGGGGCGAAGGCCCCCCTGCCGAAATTTTGGTCCGTTTTTGACGATCAAGTTTTCTGTACAATCCGCACAGTCCGTACAGTTTAAGCCGTACAGTTTACTATTTTTTTTGGAAACACGTCCTAGTTGCCTTGGAGTTAGTTTTTACTTCTCTATAAATACAAGCTCTCTCCCTTGTAATCAGTAGATCCAAAAAATTAATATCATGCCTGACTTGGTAGCGCCCCCAAACGTAGTCCTCTGTAGCGAACTGGATCACCAAATTTCGTGTGTTCTTCTTCGTGTTGCGTAATTGCGTAAATTAATTCCTAACAGATTGAACATTTGAACTTCAGTCACTCCCTCACTTTCATCCGACCCGTGGTGGATCAATATTATGTTATTCTACGATTAAAATTATGATCAATAATGTTATTTGATGAAATAATTGCACACGTACGTCTTTTCAACAATAAAAAAATGTTAAATAAAACAAAGATAAAGTATTATATATTAGTAATATGTCACAAATCATTACATCATTCTATACAAGCAATTTTGCATTTATAATTTATATTTTTAGATGTTCACATAAAGCTGAGCTCCAGTACTGCATCCGACCCTTCATTTGCACCAGACAGGTAGACACTCTGGTATAAGGCAGAGGGTCGACATACATTGAATATATATTTATGGACTACCATATATAAACGAATTCACACAAATACACAATTATAAAAAACTAATGAAACAATTAGATTTTGTTATTACCGAGTGTTATTTTTCGATTGTATGTGAAATAATTTTATTAATGAAAAGTAATGTATACCAAATTACCAATTACCTTTATGAGCAGATAGAATCACTATTCCTAAAACCTTAAAGAGTGAAAATAAGAAGATATCCATATACCTTACAAGCCAATGCATGGTAGAATCATGCTAGTGAAACAAATATATATCGACTTATGAAAGGGAATTCTACCTCACAATCTCACATTATAGGACGAAACAACATTTATATTGGTTTATTCAGGTCCTGAATTGATAAAATTTCTATTGTTTAGTTTCATTTTTTTTTTGTTTTTATCAAAAATATGTCCGTTAATTAAAAAACACAGTAATTGTAAAACAAAAACAAAAAATGAACCTACATGACTACATGTCTACATCATACAATAACTAATGACAATAGAATACAAAAAAACTAATTAAAATGAGAAGAAATAATTAAAACACAAGCTTATACATGAAACGTATACAGTGCAGCCGGGATTTAAGATTTTATTTGTAAAGATTGTTATTTGCAACCTAAGCGATCCAAATTACAATTTAAATAAATTATTAGGGTAAAAAAATCGTGTAAATTTTTTCCCAAAAAATCATTATAACCGGGTCACCCCAACATGTCGTCATGCCTACGCCATTGCATATGTGTGTGTTAGAGCGTCTTTAATGGGAGTGCGGATTGCACCCCATTAAAAATGGACATGCCATCCATATAGAGAGTCCGTGAAGATGACGTGGACAGACGAGCCATTAAAATCAAATTTCATCTCCAATGGTCCTCAACTTCTCATCCGTTCGACAATTAAATAAAAATATTTAATTCATTGTTATACCCAAGGGGCTGCTTGATAGTGGTTTCCGCCTAGAGGACTGCCGCCGCATCACAAGGGGCTGCTTGATAGTGGGCGTTAGCTGCCGGCTTGTCGCGTTTGGTTACTACCGCTGTACTGCAGCAGGCTACATCCCGTGTGCATGGGCGGAAGGGAAGTACTCCCTCCGTCCCGTTGGAATGTTCTTGTTCACTATTCATTGGTCAACTTAGGTCACTCCTAATCTTTTACTTTATATATCAAATTTTTATCAAATTGAATTTTTCTTGATCAGGCTTTGTAGTGGTTTTAATGTAGTTTCTAAATATGTAAATTTTATTTACTAAAAATAAGCGGAGTGTGAACAGAGATCGAGTTGCTTTATCGTCAGTCAAGCATCGTAAGCCGAATGGGAACATTACAACGGGACGGAGGTAGTAAAATTTACGATGATATGCTGACTCAGCATGTGAGGAAGGTCTTCTACAAGTAGAAAGCGAAATAGAAAGGCTCCGTTATTTTCAATTCCACATCAGCACCACATCCGTGATCCATATTTCCATTGGAGAGAAAATTTTATCTCATTATGATGTGGCAATGCATTTTTCATGAATCCGTGGTGCCACTAAAGATGCTCTTACAGTCTTACTCCCCCCAAGTGCTGTGTGTGCATTTCATCAGCCTCAACCAGAAAAGTCACACGTTAAAACTGAAAATTGTTAACACAAACAAATACGTATTACCAAATTCAACTACTGAGGTTATCATTTACAAATGACTCCTCATTTTATTCAAAAGGATAGTAGAACTGTTGGGCATAAGATGCATTTTATTACCGAATTGCTTTTTCTTCGACCCTAAACTAGGGCTGGACTCAAGCCGGTTCGGGCCTGGGCCCGGCCGGGCCTCGGGCCAGAAAACTGGGGCCCGAGCCCGAACCGCCGGTGGCCGGTTCCAGTTCCGGGCCAAACCGGGCCGGGCCAAACAGTAACCGGGCCGGGCTGGTTCCGGGTCGGGCCGCCCGGCCCGAGTCCACCCCTACCCTAAACTGAACACAGTTTATTCATTGGTTTTATTTTTTCACTTTTCAAATTACAACTGCTTTTACCACTCATCAAATTCTTTTAAATAAAATAGTGTGTGCTTCATATGGTCTGTTTCCATTCCAAGTTAAATCATAGGAAGAACTACCAAATAAGCACTCGAACTTAAAGTGCAAATCACCCCTTATATAAGACTTTGTCCGCACGTCATCATTTGAGGCGGTTCCTAGGGGAATATTTTGATGAAATTTTTTGAACATCTTATTCATTAAGTCTAGTTTACTCATACTATTTTGATGCACGTCAAATGACTTTGCATCCCATTTTTGAGTGATATTGGGTTTTGTACTCCATTTTCCAAAATCTTTGACTTTGCACTTAATTTCATTTAAAAATCCTTAGACTTTGCACCCTGAAACAATGTAGTATAAGACTATAAGTCAACTTCCACTTAACGAGACAGATAAATGCAAGCGCAAAAACGGTAGACTACGAAACCAGGTGCAAAAAATAAATAATTAGCAACAAATACAAAGGCAAGCCACTTCAATGTTTTCACTACACTAGATGCTGACCTAGTAGGCTAGTAGTTAGTACACAGAAGGAAAGCAAGCATTCCCAGAATTGAGGAACATCTATACAAAGGGGAGAGGTACATAAAGAAATTTGTTGGAGGCGCTCGTGTTGAAGGATGGAGAGACATGGCTCACAGGCCTCACAGTGCTACTGTTGAATTTACAGGTCCGCATAGCCTCTGCCCTCTGGCAAGTTAGTGGGCAATCAAAGAAAGGATGAGAAGTAAGTGGGAAAGATGAGCTAAGAGTCACACTGCTCTGCTAGATCATGCTTTAGAGAAGTTCCTTGTCATAAAAGGCAAGAAGTTGTTTCACATGATTAATCCAGGCACCAACATTTTGTCCATCAACAGTTACCCAGTCAACAACAGCTGATGCTGGCTGTTCCCACCATTCATCTAACTGCTCCACAATACCACTTCGAGTGAGTCTTAAGCAATACAGTTCCAATAAATGTTAATAAAGGCAAGAAGCAATAACAAAATTTAAAGAAAGAAAAACAATTACAGCAGGAAGAGCTAATTACCAATCCCCAGACATATTTGCAGTCTTCCAGAAACTTCTGGGAATTAATCACTGCATTCCTAAGTTCGGCTAACCATTTTTCAGAGATGGTTTTGTCTTGTTCAGCAGCTAGATTTAGAGAGTAATTTGTTGTCCTGTGACAAATGGACAAAGAAACCATTGTGAGTATGTGACTAGAAACTATGGATGGAATTAGCAACAAAAGTTCTGTTTCTTAAAGACCGTCAAGAAAATAAAATGCACAGAGGTTGCAAAATGTCCAGGTGTCAGTAAATCAGCACAAGACTACGGGTTGTAATTTTACCAATAATAAGAAGAAAATGTAGGAAACAATATCCTAACCAGATCGATGACTAGTTTGGTAGGAAGGTGATTTTTTCTCTTTCCCTCTTAATTCCTCCCATGAGCTTATTTTCATGTTCCGTAGATAGAAAAATTATCTCAGTCTCGCCCAATGAATATCAAATCCTTTGTGCAAGGAAAGGGTGAGACCATCCTAGCTGGCCCCTTGGCATGTTATCTACCCATGCAGTTTTCTCAATGATTATACAATTTGACAAAAAAAATGGACAATATTTTACAAGCAGGTTGAACTCGAAAAGTGTATTCACAAAGGGCATATTTGACACTTTATTCATTTCTTCCCTGAATATTATAATTACTTTTATTTCAATAAACCAAATAACGGAATTCAAACCTTTCTTTTTATTCACCACATGTTTTTCTTCCACTTTACTCATTTATGCATACCAAACGGTCCATAAGGGTCTCTTTGGATGGAGGGTTTTGATAGTTACATAACTTACTTACATCTATATCTTGTTATACATTTAAAAATATATACATATTGAAGGAATAACATAATGGGTGATCATAAAATTTCTATGGTCCTTTATTCTCATTTTTTAAGAAAAAATCTATTGATCAAAATATAGACTATGCCCTTCACAACCTCCGCCCAAACTGACCCTAAAGTGTAATATACTTCAACACCGACTTCATTAACTTCTTTTGTCTTCACAAAACATCCACAATCCCCTCAACTAGATATATACTCTGTAATACATTAACATGAAGTAAGGTGAAAGAGAATACCTCCACAATCCTACTCTGTAATACATTAACATATAAGGTGAAAGAAAAAAACTGGTACCTCTCATATTCATGTTGTGCACGGTAAGCATGATCTAACAGTGCACGGGCACTCTCAAAGAGATCTCGTCTTGAATGGACCAGAGTAATTGCCTTCTCCAAATCTTCCAGTATGCAAGCCTCAGAACCCCGAAGTTTTATGCAAAATTCCATGGATTCCAACACTGATGATAGAGCCACATCTGAACCTAAACGATAAAAACTGAGCACATCATATGAAGCAGAATCTAGGCTTGGAAGAAAAGGGGAAGAAGCCCCCGTGGGTTTACCGAAGGCGGGACGGGCTTGAGCCTACCTCCGTGGGCTGGTTACGGGCTGTTTAATTGATATTTATTCTTTTTAATTTTCCTGATTTGTTTCCTATTAGGAGTTAATTAGGATTTCTAATATTTGTTTCCTATTAGGAGTTAATTAGGATTTCTATTATTTCTTTCCTATTTGGAGTTGATTAGGATCTTTATTATTCTGTTTCCTAGTTAGAGTTGATTAGGATTTCTAGGATTTTGTTTTCCTAGTTTAATTATTAGTAGATGGGTATTTAAACCCTTGTTAGGATTTATTCTGGCTCATCTTGGAATAAAAGTTGGTTTAGCCTTTTGGCTCTGGGCAACGGTATTTGTTTATCGTTGATTATCTAGGCAACGGTTCACCCCGTCCTGCCAGAATGACGAGATCTATCAGTGAACATTTGTCAGAGATGAAGCAAACCCTGGAAGCAAACGGCAGGCGGCTGGCTGAGATCGCCGCATCCCTTGCGGCGCTGACCAAGGCCCTTGTGCCATCGATCACGACGGAGACACCATCAAACACAGTCATCGGTGCCGCCATCGTAGCGGCAACACACAACGACGGACCTCCGCGCAGCACTCCTCCAACGTTGCTGCCCATGTTCGACAGAAAAGAACCGATTAGGTGGATAGCTAGGGCTGAGCAAAAGTTTGAAATTAATCAAACCCTACCTGAGAGGAAAGTGACAGCAGCTATGGTAGCCATGGAAGGAGCTGCCTTGGACGGGTTGACCTGGTTCAAGGCACAAAAACCGAGCATGACCTGGGAGAAATTTACACAAGAACAGGTGGCCTGATTTGATTCACGGTTCAAAGAAAGCCGATTCAAACGGCTGTTCGGGGTCAAAGAGTTGGGAACCGTAGAGGAATATAATAACCTTTTTGTTCAATTGGCCAGTCAGGTTTCCGGACTGTCCGATGATTATTACTTGGGGTATTTCATGAGCAAGCTGAAAAGATCAAGTGGCAGCTTTCCTCAAGATACGGGGCAGCCCCCGGGGACAAATATGAGCCGGTTTCCGGATTTCAACCTTGAGGACAAGGTTTTTTCGAAGAGGGATGGAATTGATATGAAGCAGAATCTAGGCTTGGAAGAAAAGGGGAAGAAGCCCCCGTGGGTTTACCGAAGGCGGGACGGGCTTGAGCCTACCTCCGTGGGCTGGTTACGGGCTGTTTAATTGATATTTATTCTTTTTAATTTTCCTGATTTGTTTCCTATTAGGAGTTAATTAGGATTTCTAATATTTGTTTCCTATTAGGAGTTAATTAGGATTTCTATTATTTCTTTCCTATTTGGAGTTGATTAGGATCTTTATTATTCTGTTTCCTAGTTAGAGTTGATTAGGATTTCTAGGATTTTGTTTTCCTAGTTTAATTATTAGTAGATGGGTATTTAAACCCCTTGTTAGGATTTATTCTGGCTCATCTTGGAATAAAAGATGGTTTAGCCTTTTGGCTCTGGGCAACGGTATTTGTTTATCGTTGATTATCTAGGCAACAGTTCATCCCGTTGATTTTATTTTCCTGTTCTTATCAGCACAATAAATTGCCTTATGGTTTTTGAATTCATGACTCCCAGGCAATCATGATGAAAACCATTTCCCATAGTTTGGTACCCATGTTTTATTTAAAACCTTTGCATGTATTACAGTCTACAGTAGTGAAAGATATGAGCTTGTTTGGGATAATTTATGGTTTTAAGAGTGTTTATCATATGAATTTTCTCATTAAACATTTTAGAGTTTTTCTAAAGCACCAATCTGTTGCTTTCACAAATAAGCATTAAAGGTGTTTTTAAAATGTTAAAAACTCTTTTTCCAATTTCCTGCCTAATGCTTCTTTTTCAATGATAAATGCTTTCCTCATTTAAAAAGCACTTATACCTTAAAATTTAGTAAATCCAAAATGAACTCTATAATCTTAAATTAATAATTGTGTAGAGTGAATGCAATTAATCTACTACGAGATGGATCTTGTATTAGTCTATGACCATACTTCAATGAAATTCAGATGATGAGGAATATTGCTACACTTGTTAACACAATGCAATCACACAACCAAACACTCAAGCAAGATCCAACGTTTTCAAGAAAGGGTTTCACCTGCAGTCGACTGGAGTGCAGCAGATATGCGGCATATAGATGGAATTGCAGAAGGATCCTTCGAACCAGCTTTGGCTGTTAAAAGAGAAGCAGACTTTTCAGCGGAAACCACAGCTTCTGGACCTGTTGCTCCATTGTTTCCAAAACACTCCAAGAGTGCCTAATCCACCAAAAAGAATGGGATAATAGTAAGGATGATTGTGTGTTTAAAATAAAATAACACCTCATCCCTGAGGCTCCCCCAGAACCGGCTTGACAGTTATATGCGAGGACGTAAATTGAGCTTTGATCATATACTAGTGGAAAGAGAGTGGGGTTTCAGCCCAAGTCTTTGTTTGGGAGTTGAACCCAGGACCTCTCCCTTGGTCTTGTGTTTCAAATAATAGCTGTAAGGAGTTTTTTATTGGGGGGATTTGGGAAGGGGGTTGATTTTCATTGTTCACTTTCTTTCCAACCATATAGGCATATAGTGATTAGAAAATAAATTAATAAGTAAGTATCACTCATCCCCGTCCTTTCCTTCTGAATTCCCTGAACCAATCAAGAGATAAGTGTGTGTGAACCTGTAGTGTGAGAGGTTCATTTTAATCACCCTCACTTTCCTAATGTGATTGATGAGTATTATTGTATAATATCTTCTTAGTGTTTTGTTGTTTGATGATATTTTGAAAAAAACGTCCTCAAATTTATCTGCGTTCTGAATAAAAAAAGTCTTTCATTACAAAGTGTAACATTCATGCTCCGTGGTTAGATAACTCATACCTGGGGTGTTGACGGAAGCATGTAAAGGGTATTATCAGGAGTTTGAGAGAAAGTAGACACTTCTTTGTCAATAAGATCCTTTGCCTTGCTCGACAAGTCCGCAACAATATTGCAAGCAGGAATAACAGTGCGTGCTGCGTAATCTTTTGTTACCACTGGCTGCTGGCTCCAATACGATGCAGCATCCTATAACAGTTCACAAATTCAGATAAGCAAAATGATCACAATCTCTACGGAAAAAGGCAATTGACTTAAGCATACCCAAACCCTACATGATTTGTGGCACACAGATGAGTCAACATTTCAATTATTTGTAATGTAATCCCTTTATGCGGTATTATTTGTCCTGTTCAGCTCACCAATGATATACTCAAGCTTTAGTACTTTTTACTCCCATGACTTTTTATTTAATATATTTTGGGGGTCTTTTATCGACTGTGGAACGAAATTTCCATGTATTCTCAAAATGCTGAATTTTTATCATTGGTATGGTTGAATCTTCGTTTGGGACTAAGGCTTGGATGTTGTTGTGGTATGGTTGAATCTTATAAAAACATAAGAATAAATTATCAAATTGATGACTACCAGTATATGAGTCAAATGAAGCAGGTCAGGGGAGAATATGTTCCACAATTTCTAATTGAAATTTTTAGAACTAACTAAAAAGCTGTCATCACTCATCATTATCAGCCACCTTTATCCCAACTTATTGAGGATTGTAGCATGATACTTATAATTCCAAATTATTGTCTAATAAATTTGACACTATAAGTTCATAAAAATAAATAAGTACAGTTGCAATTGTTTTGTCAAATGCCCTTCTTATCGCAAAGTTTTTACGACGGAATAATCAATGTTATCAGACCCGAACCGGCCCAGGCGGGTTGACCAAGAAACCAGCAACCCGCTTGGCACACCGGGCGGATTAGGGAAAACCCACACACCACACGAATACCTCCCCAACCAGAAGACCCGCCAAGAACTCAGCCGCAAACCCGTTCTGGAACCCGGATGCAACCCAGAAACCCGCCCCATGTGATTTTAAAAACTGTAGCGAGAGGATTCGAACCACGGTATAGCAAGAAAAAACCACATGTGAATCCACTTCACTACTCAAGCAGGTTTGTTATTTGTATTCTTTAACTACTACTGTACCTTAATGTCTCAACTTTCAATATGTTTGAGTTCAAACTTTTATTGATAATTATCAATTAAAAGTCACATTAGACATATTATTCGTATTATTAAACTATCTAATTATGTCTAAAACATTCCAAATATGAGTAAAAATACGTATAAACTTTTTAAAGGTTTTGTAATAAACGTTATACTCACATATAGAGTATTATTTAGCTAAATTCAAATGCATTTTGAATTTAGTTAAAAACATTATACTATCCTCCGTCTCTTTTTAATCGCAACATGTTGAAGTTTACACTATTCACATGTTCTACTTTGACTACATTTTATATTATTATTTTATGAAAATTATTTTTTTTAAATTATATTGTTCAATTCATCTCATTACAAATTTTCAAAATCTAATTTTTAAATATTTTTTACTAATAGGGATTAAGATATAATTATGGTCAAAGATGTGCGTTGGCAAGTGTGAAATGTTGACCGTTGCAACTAAAAAAGAACGGAGGAAGTACTTTAGAACAATAATTTCATTTTAAATGATTTTTATGATTATTAACTATCAATATTATCAATAAAGATATTTTCCCTTGATTTTAATGTGATATATAGTAATACATATTTTATATTTTATTTTTTAGAAAATATTGACCGGGTTTACCAAATGTTGACCGGGCTGGGCTGACCCTCCGGATCTGGGTTGACCCTTGACCCGGTCACTTATCCAGGTCGGGACCTGGTCTGGTTTTGACAACATAGGGAATAATGAGATGAAATTGTAGAACTGGCATCATCATAGGTTATTGCCACTTGGGAGGATAATATCACTAAGTGGTGCTGAGCTGAGACAGTTTTTTATGCCATACCCACTGCGAAGGAATAATGCTATTGTCACCAAAAAGACAAAAATGCACAACATGAAGGAGTACTGAAGAGGGAGAAAGAGGAGTGTGGTACCCTACCATACTAGCTTTGAGCAACGCATTGTAAATTGACTCAAGTTCAGATCTCCTTGCATCGAACTCTTCAATCTTTTTCCATTTCTTTCTCAAAGAATCTTCAGCTTCCTTTCTCTCTGCACATAATTTATTTAATCGCTGAATTTCAGACATCAACGTATTTACACTGGCTTGCAATCCAGCAGCTTCTCTTTCCTTTGACCAAACCTCAAGCTACAAAACAAAGAAGATCGTAATTTAAAGAGGCATTCCATATTTTAATAATACACAATTTCATGTTGGATCGCTAAACTGAATAACCATATTAACACACTTTAATAAGTACACAGCTAGAAAACAAACAGACTATCATCACTTTCCAATATAGCCAATTCCTGGGTTAAAAAAGAGCTTGGATTGAGGACACTTATTTTACCTTAGTCCGACATTATGCATTTATACTAGATATATGTGATATTTTACCATAGTCCGACATTATGCATTTATACTAGACATATGTATTATTTTACCATAGTCCGACATTATGCATTTATACTAGATATATGTATTGCAAATGGACCACACATGTAGTTCACATACAGAGATTGTGGTTAAATCTCTATAAATCATTTGAGAAAATTAATGCCAACTAGTGAATCCAGAACATTATTAAATAAACAACAATGCTACGTAAAGGTTGACAAATGCTCCCTCCATCCCTAATAACTTCGCCAATGTTTACTGACACCTATAATAATAAAGTAAATACTATGTGGTTGAGGTTTAAGCAAAGGATAGAGAATTAACAAGAACAACAAATACATCATTATTTATAAGGGAAAGTGGCAAAGCTATTAGAAGAACCAAAAAAGGAAAGTTGGCAAAGTTTAAGGGACGGAGGGAGTAACAAGCACGGGGAAACTTACCTATTGTTAACCGAAGTGCACTGTGGTGATTGATGGAGAAAACATGATAGAATGTATCAATACCCAAAAAATTAATTCCGAAGCAATTAGCCATTTAATTTAACTTTTCATGGACCAATGATGAAGATCAGCAACTTGCATTTTAGATAAGAAATACACATTGTATGGAAGTAAAGTAGATGACCAATCAAGTTCTTTATGAGGGTGGGCAAAGATATCCCACCCAAAATGGAACGAAAACAGAAAAAGCATATCAATGTGCCTATAAGCATTAGAAGAAAAACCAGTGTCTAAGAATGATAGTGCACATCCCTAATTATAGGAAACAACATAGCCACACCTCTAGTTGCCTCAGACTACCCATAGTCTGCGATGTGCCCCCAATTACAAGTGTGTGTGAAGAGATTGGGTCTCTTGTTCCTTGCAGCCGTTGCAAAAGCTTCCGACTTATCTTTCTAGCTTCTGCAGCTCTGTTTAAAGCATCTTCAGTTGCCACAAATTGCTGAACATGTGCTTTCTAAAAAAAGGTGAACAATAAGAGCAAATATAAAAAAGAGTTTAAACGTTACAAAAGAGGTGTAGCGTATCTACCCTCATTTACTAAAATTCACTGGATTTTCATTTTTCACTTTTTGTTTTCCATCCTCACTTTTCATTTTTTGTACTTCATTCTTCACACCACCTTTGACTACTCGCCAAGGATCTCAGTGCTAAGGCCTCTCTAAACCTTGGGGTAGAACCGTAGAGCCTAGAGGTAGTCTGCGTACGTCTCACCCTCCCCATACCTTACTTTTCAGTTGGATATCCTGGGTTTGTTTGTTTGACTTTTGCTTGCCAATCAGAAAAATAGAAGAAGGGAGCATTTTACTACCACCTAGTCCATATTTTTCAAACCCTTTGTTCAGTTTAAAAGGAAAAATGAATCCAACAGCAACTATGAAAGGATAGTCCCCCCATTCAAAACACTGCTCTTCACCCCCTTGAGCAACACTGAAAGTGAAGTGGTGTCATGGTGAAGAAATTAAATTAGTTATAAATATAGGGGCAGGATACCTGTCTCTCAAGTAGTTGATTTTTTGTACCCCTAAAAGAGGCATCACCTCCTATTTTTCCATTACCATAAAGCTGGTATTGTAATGGCGAGCTTATATCAGGACTTGAAGCATCCATTACTCTGTTATTTTCATACTTGTACCTGATGCAGAAATAGAAGCAAGAACATTATATTAGCCCAGCAAAAACATAGAGATTCATTGATAATAAGAGTAAGTTGTACCATGATTTGCAGGGGAAAACGAAAAACTGTTTTGACTCATGGTACCAAACAAACATCATTTTATGGAAGCTACATACAACAGTTGGTTTATACCATCGTGTTAAACAGATAAAAAATCACCTCATAATACCCTTATTAACTTTTTTAGCAGTTACATTGCATAATAAGATTGCACTTTCATTGCACGAGTTACAATAAACCTAAATCAAAATAAGACAGAAGACAAATGCTTCCTATGTACTATCAGGTGTTGATTTTGAACAGAGGAGATTCAATAGCAGCAATAACATTTGCACATTTTATTAACACGTGGGTTAATGCTAAATGCAAATATTGTTTGGATGGACATAATAAAGTCACCTTAGCATTTCTGCATCAGATCTGGGATCAATTTTTTCAATTTCTCTACTAATAAGATCTTTAAGTCTATGAGAGTATGCAGTTATCGCATGAAGCAATTGAGGAGGATTTCTTAAGCAGCATATAATAGCATCCTTAATTTCATCAGGTACATCCCCATCAATACCCAATCTAGCAACCTCTAGATGAGGACTCGAGTGTATTCCATTTCCTTCATAAGCTGGAAAAGCTATACGGATCTTCTCCGCCATCTGCAGTGCAAGAGATTCACAAGCTTTCCTGATATTTCTTTCCCATGTTGTTTCTATGATAATTACATCGTCTGCTGCTTTTGCTCCTTTAACCGTTGAATAAGCAGGCTCTTTTTCATTGTTAAGCTGAAAAGTAGAGACCATCTCATCAGACGAATCAACATGGGACCTTTGAGCATCCCTTGCTTGATTAACATAGTATCCTAGACGATTGTGATACTCTGCAAAAATCTTTGCAGCTTCATTGCATTGTTGATCATAAGCTTCGAGCATCACTTGTTTGTGCCTGCACACCACATGTCAAATTGTCAATATCTATTTCAATTACTCTGTATAAGATCATTGCATTTTTCATTGTTTGATCTATATGACTTAGTGCAAAACCAAAACAAGGATATATTGTAGAAGCAGTAGAACCAAACTATTGATTGTGGAAAACCAAAAAACAAAAAAAAAAATACAAAGACCAAAACTTTATAAATGCTACAAAAACAACATGTGATTGGTTTTCATGGGAAACCTGTAATTGGATCTTTCATCAAGCGCCCGTTTGCGCTCAGTCTCCTCTCTTGAAACCTCAATCATCCTGGCTTTCAACTCCTTCCTCTGCTGCCTCACCGTTTGCCTCAGCCTCTCTACCTCCTTTTCAGCCAAATCTCTCTCCAGCAAAGCGACCTCTTTACTATTTTCAGCAGAAACTAATCCCATACTCGAAAACTCCTTCCCTATCCCAGCCTTCTCTTTCCTCCTCCCTCTACTCTTCTCCACCACCTTCCCGGAATCAACACCAGCACCACTACTGCTACTAATTACAGCTCCGTCTCCACCGTGAACAAGAATATTCCGGCGAATTTTGTCAACCGTCTTCTCGGACTTCACCCTCCTCAACAGAAAATTCCACACGGGGATCATATTCCCACGACAAATCTTCCTGAGAGAATCTGCCGTTGGCATCACTGTTGATTTTGTGGATGCAGTGTATGGACCTAAAGGCCGATAACCCATCTCTTTCTGAAGCCACTCTAAAATTGCCTCCGGTTGGGCCACCGGGGAGTTAGTTGAACTCTGCATTGACACTCTATGACGAAAATGGCAGAAACCAGTGGTTGAGAAGAAGGTAAGCTTCGGAAGTGGAGTGTAAAAGAGATGAAATGCAGGTCGGGTCTGGCTGGTAAGTGATGATATGATGAATTTGGCCTTCTGTGTTACAAGCAAAGATTTGAATTGGAATCACATTTTCTCTTCATTTGTTCGTCATATAGTTCAATTTATTTACCCAAATTATTCTTGGGGTAATTCCCTAAAAGGGACTAAATAAAAGCTATATTGCACAAGTAGGAGTAGAGGTATTAAATTTCCAGAATAGGACTAGTTAGTATGTATATGCCCATTCTACCCTTAGCATATTCTAACATTAAAAAATTCACTTTTATCTAATAAAAAATCATAAAAATGAAATTAAAAATGCCGGCACCTTCTACCGACTCTCACGCCTCCCAGCACCGTCACTGTTGAAGACCGGAAAAAATGCCAATTTTTTTTCGGACTACGAAATTGAAGCAACAAGGTCATATTAATGGCATTTTCAAACTTAAATATGACATTTTGAAGGATAATAATGCAATTTTAATGGCATTCCGAGCATACAATTTGGCAGTTTTTAATAAACAAAGAAGCAATCAAGCATCTGAGGCTGTTTTGTTATTTCACGAAGGCATCAATTGTTGACACCTCTGGAGCTATCGACTGGCATTCATTCTGCTAGCAACACCTCTGCCGGAAAAGGCTAAATCTGTCGTCAGAGCCAAAACCGGAGGAGAGGAAGGTCCCACGCTGGTCGCTGGTCACCAGATCTACGAGCTACTTCACTCAGGTCACCAGATCTCGAATCGCAACTCGCCGACAGTCCCATGCTGGTCGCCGCTGCTCACCGTCGGCCTCTTCAACTCCACCGTCTTTGCCTTGTGCACCCTCGTTCACCATCGATCGAATACCTCCATGCCTACTCTCCCGCTATCCGAATCGCGGATGTAATGTCTGAGTTTCTATCTTCCGCTTGAAACGAAATAGCAGGGGTAAAAATGACAGATCAATAAAATATACTCCTATTTAGGATTAAAAATAACCGCACTCCTATTTTAGTAAACGAAGTAAATTTTACTCCCATTTATAACCATTTTCCCATTATTCTTCTATCTATAAAGTTACATTAATAAAATGGTACATGTATAAAATAAAGATTGAAATGGATATGGTAAGAATATTTTAAATAACACAATGTAATTATGAAAATTATGTTTTATATGAAATAAGTTTATAGCAAATTGTTCAAAAAAATGGCCTATCAATCAATATATATATATAAAAGAGAAACTTTTTAAGAGCATACGGCGCGCCACATAATCCTGCCATGTCATCATATATTACAATTATTTAATTACTATTTATACATTTTATTGTTTTTATTACATTCTATTTTTATTGCATATTGATATGGAAACAAAAGATCGTATGATAGAATCCACCTTATTTGGTAACTTTGTCAGAATCTACTACTTACTCCGTAGTAATATGGATAGTTATTAAAATAAGCAATTATTGCAACCACAACAATAAATAGTCATCCGTGCACATAGACTTTATTTAATTTAATTATTTTTATACTTTTATTTTTATTACATTCTATTGAGAAGTGAATTATCCGTGTTTTGCGCACCTAACAAATAAATCATCCAAGTTCCTATCAATTTTGTTCTTCAAAGTTATTTTATAAATAAAGTAATAATAGTGTTCCATTTCCTAAAAAGTACGGAGTAATATTTTATTTTTCTAAACTCAATTTTTTGAATGTTTTCTAAACTCAATGTGATAATGACTAAAGTTATCAGACTTATATTTGCAATTGTGTTAATACTTCGTATTTTTCTGCATCATCATACCATTCTTTCTTAATTGTTGAGATAATGATGAAAATTATAACCACAAGATTTTTTTAACTTAAAAATGAAATTGATATATACTATTAGACAGTCATATATGAAAACATTTAAAACTTCTGATCACGTATCTTACCTTTATGAGGATGGAAATGGAAATTCATATCATACATATATGAATACGTTTAGCCCAGCAAAAAAAGTAAACATGTTTAGTTGTTTCTTTATTTTTACAACTACAATTTAGATTTTCCATCACTTTTGACATAGATTCCTAATCTAAATTAGGAAATCTTCATACATTTAGGGTGTTTTTAATTGGACTAGTTTCAGTCTTAGACAAGATCGGATCAAATATCAATCATAATAATAATAATAATAATAATAATTGTTATTATTATACATAAAATAGACATCTTCCAGACCAAGTTAGAAATGAACATGTCATCTAACTAAAAATATCCTTATTAATGACATTTTCAATGTGACGAAATAAATGAGTAAATTGTAAAAATGATCCCTTTTTTACATTTCAATGTGACAAAATAATGAGTACAATGTAAGAGCTCACTAATAAATTTACAAATATTTATTTCATACCACATGTTGAATGAGAAATATTTAAAAATAGTTTTTAGATGCTTAATGAAGTAATATAGAGGATGTGAATTAATTAAGAAACTTTTGTATGAATTCTTTAAAATCGGGTTCATAACCATTATGTTTAGTTGAGATGCTTATGTAGAAGTCCAATTTAAATATTTTTCATATAAATTTGAATTACTTTTATTAATTATATATGATTTCGAAAATATCAAATATACAGTTAGCTAAATTATGTACTACCCGTGCATCGCACGGGCTTGAAAGCTAGTTCAAAATAAAAGTGCAAACTTTACACATAATGAGAATTTATTTTTTGTTTTGCATGATCATTTCGTAAAAAGTTTAATCTACCACACTCATTTTAAATTTTTATATCAATCCACATTCTCTATAAACATTATACTCATGTATAACATAAACCTTATTCCAATAACTTATATAGATAATATGTATTCTTTGTAAATGTAATTGAGTTGATTTACTCAATTAGTAGTAGTTTGTAATCGGGAAATATTAAAACATATATTATATAATTACATAATTTTGTGTTTGTGTTTTATAATGTTCCGCCTCTACAAATTTCTTTTAAACAATAGTCATTATTATTGTATACTTATCTAATTTTTTTGTAATACTCATTTAAAATGTTAATGATGTAAATCTCTATCTCCACACTCTTACAAGCATGAATAATGTTATGGGTATAATGATCATAGAAAATGTGTTGGTGTAATTTTGTATATTGGACGGTGGTACTAAATGCTTATTTTACTTCAAAGCATGAAGTATTGTCGCCCATCAAAGACGGACAAAACTATCTTTGTTATCATCTGTTGAACATCAAGCATGTATTCACACGTTTGAGATAAAAATACCCTACGCACAAATAGTACTTCGTACAGAATATTTATCTAAATCTTCCTTTCCTCTCAACCTTATTTGTGTACGAATGTACGATCGTCCATTTCCAAGTCACTTTCTTTATCCGGTTCACAAACTCGGCCAGACAACATGGTTGCAAAATGGCCATTTGGATCATGGTTGCCCAATGATCCATCTATAAATATTTGAGACCCGGTATTGAAAACATCTTGGATTTCTTGGAATTCATCCTTTTGTAAGTTCTTTGGTCTTCTACTTAAGTACGTAGTATATATATTCTTTAGAATTAATTCATGTTCATTTCTAAACTAGCGCCGTTACTCCGCTTTGTTGGTGTTGGTTCTTTATTTTTATGTTTTTGTTGGAGTTTAACTCACGAAACATTGTTTCTTCATGTACTAAAATTCAAGGTTGTTGTTACCCCCTCTTTATATGTTTGATGAAATGCCCATGCGAAATGCCCATATTTGATGAAATGCCCATACTTGTGGATTACCCAGACGGCAATCCACAATTGTTTAGGTTCGTGCAGTGTTTATGGACAATGTATTATTCTTCATTTGTTTTCTTCATCATTTAATATGAAAAATGTTTAGCTTTTCATCTTTTTGACGTAAGAACTAAGAACTAACGAATATTGATTTATCATGGTTGTCTAGTGGAAGATTGTAGCATATCTTGCCTTGTTATATAAATTCCAATCTCCAAATGATAAATCTCTTGGGTTAACATCTTGAAACTCATGAAGTCTATTAGATGCTAAATATTGTAGGGGTGAACAAAAAACCGAAAAAACGAAACCGACCGAAACCGAACTGACCAAAACTGAAACTGACTCAAACCGATTAATCACTGGCGGTTATGTTTGCGGTTTCACATTCGGGGTTTAAAAACAGACCGAACCGGAACCGACCGACAAAAACCGACAAAAACATGCTAAAATCGACCGAAGCCGACCCTAACCGACCGATATTAACCAGTACCGAACAGAAACCGAAACGAAACCGAACCAAAACCGACTCAAGTAGCGCAGTTCGGTTTACGGTTTCACCTTTTCCAAAACCGAAACCGACCAAACCGAAAACCACCAAACCAAACCGACAAACACCCCTAAAATATTGTACAAAAATGTAGGCAAATAAAAGACAAGTCCTATTTTTAAATGAGAATAAGATCAAAGATGGTTCTGCTTGCACATTCTACTAGCACTCGTTTAAAGGCCTAGATAAGCCCCCTTTGTGGCCGAAACCGCCGAACTAAGTTTTTCTTAGTGCATATTTTATCAATCGAGTATTGCTTCTTTATGAGCTTTTAGTCTTCAAAATGAATCAGCTCATTTAGGACTAAAAAGTTTAAGTCTTAAAGCATTGACTTCTAAAACGATTATAGATGTTACAAGTCTCTTGAACTCAGAAAAACTATTCTAAATCAGAGTTGAGCATTGTCAAGTAATATGTATATTTCCTTATCAAACTCATCATAAGATATCACCAGTTGAAACTTGAAAGGATAAGGTGCAGTGATACTGTGATAGGAAGAGCATTGGACTAAAACGTGCACCCTTATTTTCTTAATCAAACTAGAAGACTAGACCAAAAAAATTCAATTCAATAAAAAACATCCTTATTTGCTTTTTCTTTTTCAAATTGTGGGCTGTAAATAGGTATGGACCGGGACCGGTCCTGACCGGGCTTTTTGGGAGATAGTTGAGGCCCGGAACCGGCCCGGGTATCCACCAGTTCCGGGCCAGGCCGGTTTCTTTTTTTTTCTTTTTTGCTTTTGTAATTAACCCCCCACCCCCCCCCCACCCCCCAAACCACCCCAAAACACCCCGCCCAACCCGGGAAAATAAAAAAAATGAAAAAAAAAATTTAAAAAGCCCGAACCAGGCAGGTTCCTATTTAGGGTGACCCGAGCCCGCTCAACGTAATCCCCGGGCCAGGCCTGACAGAACCGGTGCCTGGCCAGGCCAGTTCCAAACAGTGCAAGGCCGGGCCTAGAATCGGTCCATCACTAGTTGTAAAGTGTAAACTTATGTAAACATTTATATATACTCAGTATTACCAAGTGATGAATTAGTTAAATATCCTGAATAATAAATAAATTATATCATGAAATACGGAGTATTTTTTATTAATAAAATAAAGAAAAAAATGTATCAAAAATGGCATAAATAGTCTTCGCCAGCAAATTCAATGAGAAAGGTAACCCCCCTTGCTTATTTTGATAATTATACAATCAATTGCGCAAAATCAGAAGTTATGAATTTTGTTAAAAAGTTGATTGATAAAACTCACAAGTGGAAGATAGTGGTTACCAAAAGGACCTTGCAATTGCATGCTTTATTGCATGATTTTGACCCAAACCTGGGCTGATATTAAGGTACAGAGTTGTGCCATGATTTTGTGAATAATTGCATGCATAATCACAAGTCACAACAATGCATAAATTTGTTGGCATTATTATTAGGTTGAACCATGTAGAGTGAGGTAATGATGGGAACGCCAACTTCGAAATTCTAACGAAAATGAAGCAAGAAATATATTGTGGACAAAAAAAAACTTCACCATCTTTGATCTCAATATAAAAACTCCCAGCCGAAGGCATTCAGGCTGCTTGAAAGGCCTTCAAGAAAGTTTCTGAAGCTTGACCACCGCTTAGCTGCTGTTCCCCATTAATCTGCCAAATGTTTATATGTTTACCGCATATATATGACTATGAGTGTGCTAATTAAATGAAATACTGATAGCATAACATACCACAAAGTGTGGGACTCCACTTATGTTGGCTGAATATTGCTTAAGTTCTTCATTGACCTTTGAGTTATTTACAAATCATTAGCATGTGAATGGTCAAATGGATATAGGATATCTCGGACAAGCTAAGAACCTTATTACCTCCTTCAGACCATTGAGCGGATCCTCGAGAAACTCCGCCGCTCCTTCAACTCCAACCTTCTTAGCAGCTTCTTCAAGAAACTCCCTTAAAAATACATGCAAATAGACATTAAAAAAACCTAGCTTTGAGATTCTCTAAATTTGTTTTTGGCTGAAACGATACAACCTCCGTCTTACTCAACTTTGCCATTTACGGTTTGCGATAATTGACTGGTAAGTGGTAATAAAGTTAGTTCTTGATAATATTAATATTACCATCAATAATATTTAAAATATTGAAGCACAACACTCAGAGTTCCTCCATGTTAATAAAGTTGGTTTCTCTCTGATAAGTGATAATCTTAATGTTGGAAACAACATTACAACTTTATTACCCTAGTTTTAATGAAGGGGAAAATCCGATATCGAATTGATGAAAGTATGAAACAGTAATAGTCAAAAGTAGATAACAAAAAAAAGATCACTTGGATAAGAATATGCAAAGTTGAGTGGGACAATATGGGTATCATTAAAAAACACATCAAACAATTAAGCATATTTAGCCGAACACTCCCAAAATTTTCCCTTTAAACAGACTCAATGCAAATTATCATATTTGTCTGGATTCTATGATTTATTTAATGACATACATCACATAGAAAGTAGCAATTTTATAAGTGTATGAGACAGTAGAGTATAACTAATTCACCTGTCACCGATATACTTGCCCTGAGTGAAATAGCCAATGAAAAGCTCATCAACAAGATTGTGTTGCTTATCGTGGCCCTGTTGCCCTGCAAAATATATGAGCCGGTGACTGTCCAGAGTATTGCCCCTGAAACATAAAAATCAAATGTGCATGCATAAGTAGTGTTCATCATCATAGTCACCTTGAAAAGGTTCATCAGAAACAATATAAACTCACGTTAGTCCAGACATGTTATATTCCAGTCCAAGACCTTTGAAAATCTGCCCATTTGACATAAGATGTTATCAACTAAATAATGAAGACACTATGAATATTAAGACTTGGAGTCACTCCCCGTTCCGAAATAATTGCCTTTTCTTCCTTTTTGGGCGGTCTTAAAATAACTGTATTGTTTCCCTTTTGGCAGAAACATATTGTTCATACCATTTTAGGTTTTCTACTCAAATCTAAACCTCATTTCTTACCTTTTAACCACTTTATTAATAAGTGTGTGAAACAAACAAGACAATTATTTTGGGATGAAGGTAGTATATCCAAAAGGTTGGTCAACCTAATAGATTGAATAGTATGATGCTAACTTTATATTGATTACACCAAGAGAGTGTGATTGGTATTTATTTATTAAAATTTAATCATTTATTTATTTATTAGACATGGAAAATTAGAAACATCTGTTGATTATTGGAAAATTGAATAGTGTGAGGAAAATTCACCTCAGTCATCCTCAACCTAAGTTGTTCACTTCGAGTTCCAAACTTCTGCATATAAAATTCTTTCTTGCTTACACCTTCTTTAGGTGCAGAAGGATTAAGTAAATATGGATGCCATTTAATCTGCAGAAGGATCAACAAAAAGGAAAAAGTTCATTTACAGTTTTTTGGACTTCTAACTTCTACAGACCCACAACGTATTAGTTGGCTCTTCATCAATTAAGGATGAAAACTACTTGGTACCCCAGAGCACGATTCAGGACCTGATTGGTTGAAGGAATTAATCAGAGACTTCAAAAACCAGGTTTTCAGGGTTTTTTCAGTTTTTCTAATCAATCATTTATTAAAATTAAAATTATTACAAACTCAGTGAGGTAAATTCCATTGAAAATTAACTTTAAGTTAATGTAATATAAGAAAGGATTTAAAGTTCATATTTTTTTAATATTAAAAACCGATTGTTTCCATTTTTCAGATCATAAATTGATAGATAACCTATCTATCAGGTTCAAATGAAATCCACTTTTGAAAAAAGACAGTTAAAAGAAGAATCTAAAATGCACCTCAAACTCATAGTGTTCCTTTGACGAAGCAATAGCTGTATCCAGGTTTCTTTTCCCAACAAAACACCATGGGCATACACTATCTGAACTAATATCAATATGAATAAGCTTCTTCTTCTTGCCAATACTATCAGCAGCAGATGATTGAGCCATGAATCTAGTCCAGAATAAAACAACCAAATGGAATGGGTATCATACTCCTCTACAAGCTTAATAGTTAAATTTCGCATATCTTTGTTGCAGAAACACATCAAATTCTCAATTAAATCCAGATAAAAAGTCGAAACACGACTTGGTAATCGTGTTCGATTCCTCAATATGCGTAATTGCGTATTGTTTCACACTCACGAACCAGCAAATTATTGGAATTTCGATAAAAAAAAACTAACCTGAGAACTTGGAATTTCTGTAAAGAGACCAGGGACTTTTTTCGGTATTAATGCTAATTAATTAAGTTTTTAAGAAAATAGGGTCGGCTTAAAAGTATTTACGGATATACCGCTGGGCTTAAATTAAAAATCCGGGTTAAGCTAAAAAAAAAGAGGGGCAAAATTGTCTTTTGAAACCCGTTGAATTTTACGACTATCGTGTCCGCAGGTCGCCCGCGCAGGGGGTGCGAATTTTCGATTCTGAACTGAAAGCCGGAATTCTTGTGTGCGCGAGAGCTCCCCTATTCTCCTTCACCTTTTAATTCTAAGAGAGGAGTGGTTCATATTTATAGGCTTCAAACTTCTCAAGGAGTTTAGGTGTGGGAAAGTTAAAGAAGCTCACTTTCCACCTTTGCTTAAAAGTGTACACTTTTCCATCTTTTTTTTTCAAGAGCAAATTTGAGCCACTTCAAACTTCAAAGTCCAAAACTCCAACACCAAAGGTCAAAACTACAATCAAAGCTTCCAAGAGTCAACATTGAGATTTAAAAAAAAAAATCAAGGTTAATACTATTTTTCTCAAACTCCAAGCTACATTTCAAGGTCCAAGATAGTATTGTTTCCTATCATCTACTTCCTTTCATGTTGATTTTTGGAATTTGATAGGAAACAACCAAGCTACATTTCAAGGTCCAAAATCAAGGTACCATCTACCTTGATTTTTTTTTTTAAATCTCAATGTTGACTCTTGGAAGCTTTGATTGTAGTGTTGACCTTTGGTGTTGGAGTTTTGGACTTTAAAGTTTGGAGTGGCTCAAATTTGCTCTTGAAAAAGAAAGATGAAAAAGTGTACACTTTTAAGCAAAGGTGGAAAGTGAGCTTCTTTAACTTTCCCACACCTAAACTCCTTGAGAAGTTTGAAGCCTATAAATATGAACCACTCCTCTCTTAGAATTAAAAGGTGAAGGAGAATAGGGGAGCTCTCGCGCACACAAGAATTCCGGCTTTCAGTTCAGAATCGAAAATTCGCACCCCCCCCCCCCTGCGCGGGCGACCTGCGGACCCGATAGCCGTAAAATTCAACGGGTTTCAAAAGACAATTTTGCCTCTTTTTTTTCGCTTAGCCCGGATTTTTAATTTACGGGTAAGTCGCCAAACGGTTTGGCGACTTTCCCCGACCAGGGTTAAGCCCAGCAGTATATCCGTAAATACTTTTAAGCCGACCCTATTTTCGTAAAAACTTAATTAATTAGCATTAATACGAAAAAAAAAACTCAGAGACCAGATGCATCAGAAGATAAAATCATAAAAGCACCGGTCCTTAAACCACTACTTGCTCACATATGTCGGGTATGTTTGACAAATGTCTTATCAGCCAGCTTTTAACTTGTTTGACCATTTTAGCTGTTTGATTAGTCAAATAAGTTAATAATAATGTTTGGTAAATGTAAAATTAGTTTGTTGAGTTTGAAAAGCTGAAAAAATGGATGGTCGAAGAAGTTAAGGGGAGCAGCTTTTTCATTCGACTGGTTCAATTTACACTCTATCAGCCATTTCGAAACAAACAATTTTACCAAACAGTTATTTATAATCAGCTAACATAACCAGCCGGTCAAAACAGCTAACACAACCAGCTATTAGGAAACAGCTGACACAAGCAGCTAACAGCAACAGTTAACATCCATTTACCAAACAAGGTCATTGACTTCTTGTTGGCTTGAATCAGTTGCTGCTTGTGAACCAAATTCCATTTCATGATTAGTACCAGTTGAAACTGCTTCACTATTGACTTCATCGTCACAAATCACTCTTAACATCTTATTATATATATATATGTGTATATATATATATATATCAATTTTTTATCAAATTTAATTAAGTTTTTTGCGACTTTGTAAAACTTTTAATGTAGTCTCTAAATATGTAATTTTTTTAAAAAAATAATTTTAGAATGGACATAGATCTGTTTGCTTTATCGTCGGTCAAACATCGTAAACTGAATTGTCTCAATCTTAGTGGGACGGAGGGAATATGTATTATATGGTCTACATTTTTAAAATTTTTGACCTTTTTTATTCGGGTGGTTTTGTGTTGTAGTACTCCTTGCATGCCCTAATCTATGAGCTAATATCTAATTAGGTGTGTTGGATGATTTTTTTAATAAAATAAATAAAAGATTATATAAAAAATAGCTAAAATAATCCTCTAAAGTAACTTCAGTTAATACAGCCAGAAAAGTAACTACAACTTTAACTTTTCTTATTGTTACACAATTCAACACGTGAAATCAAAAAATACATTTTTGGCAAAAAAAGTTGGTTGGTAATCCGATAAGTGGAATAATAGGGTCACCAAATGAGTTCTATAACTCTGGTTGAATCATTGTTGGAATTTAGAACAAAGACACTGCATTATTAGATTATTACTCGGTATAACATATTTAATCACGGTTGTTGGCTTGTTGTTACTGCTGCGGTCATTGTGGTTGCAATAGTGATTATAGTGATCACTTAGATGCCAATTGCAGTCAATGTGGCATGATATCATTTTTAATTCCAACAATATTGAAAAAAATGTTTTATTTTGTAAAGGACATTTGACCTCAATTTTAAATTCATTCTCAAGCGAATTTCAAAATGCATTTAAATTAGCTATGTTCACTCTGAATAAGTTTAATTAGCTTAAAACATGATGTGTAATATATTTAAAAGAAAGAAAGAAGTAGCTAAAAATTGTATTATGGTTGTGTTGCGGCCCGATGTGGTTGTATTGCAGTTTTATTGCGATTGTGTTGCGGTTATTGGCATGATTTCGATCATATTTGCATTTGTTGTTATTCGCGGTGTGGCTGGCAAGGTTGCGGTTGAAAACCGTAATTGAAAACCCTTGGTTAGATTATATAGACAGTTTACAAAAAAAATTATTATGGTTTACAAAATATTGATGAGTTCTCATTGAAAAAAATTGTGACCTTTCTTTATTTTATTAAAGATTCGAATCTAATCTTTCTTTGTTTTACTAAATGTTCTGTTTCTTTTGAAAAGACATAAATTAAATAACATTTTATTTTATTCAAACTTTAACTGCAAATAATACTTTTCAATCATTTTATTATACTTCGTATACTGTTTGAGAATAAATTAAATTTCTTTTCAGAATGGCTTTTCAGGGTGTGAGGGAAGTGAGGGTAGGTTAACACATCAATATTATTTTTTAATTAAATATTCATTTTTGTTTTATTACTTTAAACGAATTTGTTTGAATTTGTTTTTAGAGTCATTTCTCTCATACTGAGAGTATCCCGCATCTGCTCCGCGTGAAAAAGCAGCTTAGAGGTAAGAGAAAAAAATTGATTTTATGTTTATACGGAATATAAATGTAGTATAGGTAAAATGGAATATAATATAAATACACAGAGAGCAACTTGATATATTCATGCGATTCAACTAAATACTACTCCATCCAGCCCACTTTGTAAGATACGGAGTATTTTACGGATTACGATGTTTTGACAAACGATAAATTAAACGGATCCATGTTTGCACTCAAAATATTTTTAGGAAAAAAATTACGCATTCTGAAACAACACTAAAAGTTTTACAAAGTTGAAAAAACCAAAATTAAATGTGAAGAAAAATTTGATTTATAAAGTAAGTGATTAAGAGTGATGACCAAGTTAATAAGAAACATATCTTACAAAATGGGATGTTCTATCTTTGTTTCTCAATAAAAGTATTGAAGTTTTCTAATGGTTACATTCCACAGATTTATGTGAAACTCAATCCAACTAACATTCACAAAATGAATGCATACAGAACATAGCGAGTCGTAAACTAAAACTCAAATAGCATAAAGGAAACATATTTTATTGTCAGAAATTTTTCCTAGGTTTGCATTGTTATATTTTAAAAGAAGGATTAACGTATATATACTAAAATATAACCGATTGCTCATATAGTGAACATCGATCAAGAATGCCACATGGAATAAATAACAACCTGACCGTCTCACGGTCTCAGATTTATTTAGGAATGAAGATGAGTTCTAATAATCAATTGCTCACATAGTGAGCCATGATTATTGTTCCAGATTAAGAGAATAGAGAGAGAGAGAGAGAGAGAGAGAGAGAGAGAGAGAAAGTATGTGTGTTATCAAAACCTGAGGAGTTCCTGGAAATTGATGAGGCTTTCAGATGAATTTTCACGTTTTCTGTATGTCAAGAGGAGCGGGCAAAGAGTTCGATGGTAAAGAGTTCATTAGTGACCACCATCGCCCAAAGTTCGACAGTAACAACCCCGTCGGTGACCCACAGCTATCTCTAGCCAGAGACAGGAGACTGCACTTCCGACCTGTGACCGAAGCTGTCCTGGCGGGAACCGCTGCCGTGGCAGCACTGGAGGTGACCGCCGCTGGCCCAACTCCACAGCCCGTGTGCAGCCCCAAGCCCCCTTTCCATCACTTCCCCCGCCGGAAACCCATCTTCTGCCCGAAACCTTGCTGAAAATATTACCCCTGCCCCTCAGCCCAATCTCATTTCCGTTTGCAGCCGCCGCGACCCTACCCCGTTTGCTACAGCCACCGAAAGGCTAGACGCCCACCTAAGACATCATCAGATCGTCGCTTTCCTCCGTACTAAGACATAATTGCCGGCGTATTGATCGGTCATTGAATTACACTTCTTACAACTCCTTGACTTAAAAATTATTCGTCGTTTATAACTCATAGGTATGATAAAAACATATGTACGAACAAAAAAACAAGCAATGAAATACGAAGCCATCGACTAACCTGGCTGACGATCAGGGGAGGGAGCTAGAGAGATTCCAGGGCGGTAGAGAGATGTTAAGAGAGATGTTATAGGGGTTCGTAGGGTTCGGTTACTCCAGATCTTGGGGTTTAGATTTGTTGGACCATTGGGACAATAAGTAAATCATTTAGTTTCACAAGGGGGAATTCAACCCGACATTTCCTAATTACAGGCACACATTTTCGTATTAAATTTCTATTCCTGTTATGTCCTCATAATAAATACGGAGTAGTTTAGTACCCGTGCGATGCACGAGAATATTTATATATTTTTAACGAAACGGATATTTGTAATTATTTTAGGAAAATTGGAAATTAATAATCCAGCCTTTTAGCGGTCTTCTAACAATGGACCTACTTTATCGCTATTCATTAATAACTAGTATTCTACCCGTGCGATGCACGGGAAATAATCATATGGAACAATATATGGCACAACATAAAAATTAAATATTTGAAACGTTAAATTAATATATAAATTAACATGTGTAACATTACCAATATCAATATATAAATGAAAACAATTTTAAATTTTGG